CGCATTGAGCAAAAATTGGAAGACCGGCATCTGCTGATTTTCTCAGACTTCAGCACAAAAAATAATATGCCAAAGCTCAGTGAAGTCTAAACCGGAGACTCTGTGCTGTGAACAACTCACCCCCATGGGTAGGATAAAGAGGTCTGGTTGGCTCAAGGATGTTTCTAATACAAACCATCCAGCCCTACCCTCTAGTTCAGGGTTTCTCATTCTCTGCATTATTGGCTTTTGCAGCATTCCAAAACGTTTAGTAGTTTCCCTAGCCTTATAGCCACCCGCTATATGCCAGTAGCACCCCTTGTCCCAGTTGTGACAACCAAAAATATCTGCAAGCACTGCCAAACGTCCCCTGGGCTGAGGCGGTGGTGGGGGAAGAGTTGTCCATCAGCCCTCCTTTGAGAATCACTGCTCGACTTCTAAGCCAGTCTGAAACCTTGCTGAAATATGTGGGCATGATTTACGGGAGACTCACCCATGACTTTTAATGTTTGTGCTTGTCTCCAAGTCGGTCTCACAAGATGGAGAGAGAGAGGAAGGACAGAGGAGAGACTGAACATGGAAAGGATACCCCCCATATTTATAGGATCTGCAGAAGCATCAGGCTGAACAGAACGACTAAAGGTAGCCTCTATCAGCTCTTCTCTACCAATGTGAGTGGGATACACGGATCATGTGGTTTATGAGGCACAGTCTTCTCTTCCTCTCAGCACCAAATTTAAGCTCTTTTACCTACTATTCCACCTCCTCATTTGGAGTACTATAAACAGATACATGGTGCTTGGCATCCCTCTATTTTCTCCCCACATGCAGTTTGCTTAATGGAACCTCTATCTTTGCTGTCTTTCCATTCCACCATCTTGAAATGTTCCCCTTGTCAGCCAATTCAACATCTTTCATTATCTCAAAAACATTACCTTGAGTTCATTTTGAAATAATATACCTGGGCTAACTTCCTATTCATTTTTCCTTGTATCTCTCAGACTGATGAACGCAGATTGAGGTCACTTTGTACTAACAGATTCTCATTGGTTTCTGTGTCTCTTACTGACAGACTCATCCTACTGGTCAATCACAGAGCCAGATTTCATAAAAAATTACTGTCATTTTCCCACTCAAAAACTCAGAAGAGACCCAGTGCCTACAGGAAACACTTCAAAACATCTTAATTTTCCACATTCAGCTGATCTCTTCAGTCTAAACACTCTCAGTTCTTTCAACTGTTGTTCATATGGCATAGTTTCCAGATGCTTCACATAAATAGAATAAATGGAGCCCAAGACTTTAAACTTGGTCTTGGTGACTCTACATACAATGAGATAATTACTGCCTGGGGTCAGGAATATTCTTCCTGTTAAGGGAATCTAACACAAAGTTAGATTTTTTAACAGTCATTACTGTTAATTTATATTAACTTTATGTTCTTCTAAAATCCTCTGGTATTTTCATGTTAGAGAAACTTTAAAACATAAGAATTCAAGAAATTGTTATAAGTTCCAGGGTAGTTATAAGTTTCCTTATACAGGTTGGCTTTGACTTGTGAAGGTTGGGGTAACACTAGCTTAAGAAATGAGATCGGCCGGGCATTGTGGTTCATGCCTGTAATCCCAGCACTTTGGGATGCTGAGGCAAGAGGATCACTTGAGGCCAGGAATTCAAGACAAGCCTGGGCAACAGCGAGACCCTGTGTCTACCAAAAAAAAAAAAAAAAAAAGCCAGGCATGGTGGCACACACCATAATTCTAGCTATTCGGGAGACAGAGGTAGATCACTTGAGCCCAGGAATTTGAAGCTGCAGGGAGCTGTGATCACACCACTGCACTCCAGCCTGGGTGACACAGTGAAACCCCATCTCTTAAGAAAAATTAAAAAAAGAAATGAGAGTCTGAAGAACTGCCTTTAAAAATAAAGGAAGGCCAGGTGCAGTGGCTCAAGCCTGTAATCCCAGCACTTTGGGAGGCCGAGGAGAGAGGATTGCCTGAGCTCAGGGCTTCGAGACCAGCATGGGCAACTTTGTGGGACCTTGTCTCTACAATAAAACAAAAAATAAACCAGGTAGGGTAGTGCACACTTGTGGTTCTAGTTACTTGGAAGGCTGAGGTGGCAGGATTGCCTGACCCAGCAGGCTGAGGCTGTGGTGGCTGTGAGAGTGTCACTGCCCTCCAGCCTGGGTGACAGAGTGATTCCAACTCAAAAAAATAAAAATAAATAAAAATAAAGGAAATTGAAAAAAAAACACCCGAGACTTATTTATAACAGGGTATATTCTGGGTATATATAACACCATTTCATTTTAGTCATAAAAGTTTTTATGAACAAGATCTATCTACATCTTATGGTAGAGAAGTCAAAAGCTCCTAGAGGTTGAATGATTTGCCTGAGGTCATATGATGAGGAGCAACACCAGGACTCACACCAGGACATCAAGTTCAGCCTCCCTTCACTATACTCCGACAGCCTCTACGTATTTTCCCGCAAGGCAGTCTCCCAACCTCCTATCCTGTTTTCTCATTTTCACTTCCTGCTCCCTCCTCAGAATGCCCTTTCCAAGAGGCTCCTTTTGCTCAGTACCACAATTATCTACAATTTCTCTGACTTTTCCTGCATCTTAAAAGTCTTCTCCTCAGCCTGCTGATACTCCACAATGAAGTTGTGGATTCGGCCCTCTACACAAGGCTGTCTGTGGCCATCTTGTCCAGTTCCAGCAGTCGCACCTCTGAACTTCTGCCCAACACATTCCCTATCACTTCATGCACCATGCCTCAGTTATATCCTTTACCAGACTGTAAGTTTATTAAGAAGAGCAATCAACCATGGGTTTGCCCCACATAGAAGAGTTTCTTGATCAGTAGCATTTAGTAGTTTGGTGAGAGTTGATGCTTAATAAACACGGGCCTGATAGATACTTCACACAGTAAAAATTGTCGAGACTACTTCCAAGTTCTCTCATCATTTAACTCTCCCTTCATATTCTTTAGTTATCAAGATTAATGTCTACCATGTTGCCTCAAGCTGGGAATACTCTTGGCCTTGAGATGAAACATACACAATTTTAAAATGTTTTCCTCCTTTGCCAATTCAGGATTACTCATTTACTTATTTTGTTTCCTCAGGTCCCACCTCCATTTGCAGACCTCTTCTGGGAGCTTCCTCAGGTGGCCAGGATGACAACCCCACCTTGCCCTTGATGTCTCTGCTCTCCAGGAGTTTCATTACTTCAGCTACTTTGCAGGAAGTGTCCAGAGGGAAATGATGGGCACAGAAGTAGCTCTGGCAGCCCTCATCAAGGGGTTTCAAAAGACAGAAGTCTTGAGTTCTAGAAAGGACTTGAGAGAACACTAGTGTGAAGAATGTCAAGGCACTGAGCCCTGGGGAGGTGACCTGGATTATAAAGGCCATAGGCAGAACCCAGATTTCCTGGCTCTGGTGTTCTTGTTCCTCAACAGTTTGACTCTGGCCTGTTACTGTTGTGTGTGTGCATATACACATGTGTGTACATTCTGGTGCAGAGGTTTTTAGATCCTTATTTATTATCATATACACACAGCTACACACATCGGTTCAAGCAGTTCCTCTCATGTATACATACACACACACACACACACACACACACCCATAAAATTATTTTTAAAAGCACATAAAATTATTTTTAAAATTAAAATTAAAATTAAATTAAGATTATTTTTAAAAGCAGATATCTGGTGTTATAATTCCTACTTAAAAGATTTAACCTATAAGTGTATGTGAATAAAACAATGCAGACTGACTACCTGCCAATCTGTCAGCAATTAGTGAATGGGATAATTAAGGAGTGCCTTATGGAGTGATAGTAACATGTAAATCATGGTACAGACATACTGGCACAGAGGTTATTACGTCCTTATAATTACTAATATTTATTATCATATGATGCCCTGTGCCAGAACTTTATATATGTCATTTCACTTAATACTCACTCTGAGGTAGATATTTCATTTGGCAGATGGGGGAAGTGAGACAAAGTAAAATGGCTTTGCTGCATGTCACTGGTTGCTAAGCCACACAGGGGGATTCAAAGTAGCGGCTGCCTCGGGTTTTATCAAGGTTTTATCTATAGCACAAGGTTTTATCTATAGCACAATGCTGCTTCACAAAGCTTGATCCTATGGAACAACAGTATTCTCAGTGTACAGAGAGGTCTAACACCAACACAAAATACTAGCAGTTTTCACCTCAATGCATAACCTTCTTCTCATTTGGTAACAGTTACAATCTGCAGGACAGTTTCCTTCAGAGGCAGCAAGCTACAGACTGGGGGGGATGTCTATAGACTATCAGACTATGTGTCCATTCTAATTCTTGTAGACTGCATTACTAAGAGAGGAAACAAAGTTGAGCTGTTTCTTGAAAAATGCTGTTCTACTTTCTTTTTGTTAAATTTGTATTTTATTTCAAAAGGCATAGGAATTGCCTTTGTTTTTCATGCAAACACAACTGCCCTGGGCCACACTGGCACAGGGACTTCCCAGACCCTTTGCCTTACCTGGTTCCTTCCCAGTGATTTCAAGTAGCAGGAAACTGCCAGGGGTGGGAGTTGGGGGAGGTGGGGGGATTGGCAGTAGCGGGAATCTCCTGGGAGAGAGGGGATGCACCTCATCAACAAGGGTACCTACATAATGAACATTTGTATGCCTAACCCTGAATTGTACATCCCATCTTTTAAATACAAAAATTAAGAGAGAGAGAAAAGAAAAAAGACAGAACATAAAGGCAGCGTGGTACTGGCAAAGAATAAATAAATAAATAAAATAAATTCTAAAAAGAAATTGAAACGATTTGAACTATCATTAAATTTAATAAAGTTATTTTGAGAAGTGAAAAAAAAGGAGTACCTTTTTGAAAGACTACATAAATAAATATACAATCTGTACAATTCAACTTTAATTCTTTTGGAAATATTTTATTTACTGTTGTAGATCCGGGGGGAGGGGGGATACACGAATACACATACATACACACCAATAGACCAATATAAACATAAATATGTATTTAAAATTTAAGGATAACCTGCAGGGACTACAGTTTATGGGGGAAAAAGAAAAGAAAATTGAGGATAAGTAAAGTGAGAGTACAACGGCCATTCTTGGTTAAAAACAAAACAAAGGGCAAGTTACCACCACCACACGTGCCAGCACTTACATTTGTCAGCAGGCTGACCCAAGTGTAGCTTGTCTATTAGCATTCAAAGGACATGGCAACACAGCTTCCTTTAACTCTCCAATGATCCAGAGCATTTTCAGTCCTTGTCTTGTTCCTCGGTTGCTGAAGGGTTTCTCGGAAGGTTTAGCAGTGCTTCAATTTTCTTAGCATCATCTTCAGATTGATTTTTCTGTAAGCTACTTTCAATTTCCTCAGGAAGCTGCTCAGTAACTTGTAGTCTGGCTTTCCTGTAATCCAACAACAAAGGAAATGGCAAGTGTTGCTCCATTTCTTAAAGAGATTTAAAACAAAAGGACGGCATTTATGCTACTCTCCCTGCTTTGGTATGACAACTTATGAGCAAACATTGCCTCCTGCATTCAAATACAGTAACTTTCTTCTGTCTCCTAACCTATTACACTCTCAAGCCAACTATGATTCCCACATTACAATAATGGATTCTGTTGTGGCTGCGGCACTGATCCACGAGACACTCCAGTGTTGGGTCCTAGAGTTCGCACAGGAGCGACGTGTGGGAGCTAACACCCACTGGGCAAGGAGTGAGGCTCAACTCTTGGCTGCCCTCTTGCCCGCAGGGTTGGAAGAATGTGACTACCCTGCCACTCTGTTAACTCTGTTATCAGACCCCATAGAAACTGGACAAGTAGTAATCCAGGTAGAGAAAACCGGGTAGGACAATACTATAGATGTATATTTATAAAAGTTAAAATCTAATTTCCAAATAGTAGATCAGTTCTTTTTCTCAGTTCTTTTTCTTTCCTTTAAGTGATTATCCGGGTTGCCTATAACTTTCTTCTCAACTCTTCGCAAATAGATTTGACCATTAATTCTTCCATATCTCTACAGCCAGTTTTCCACATTTTGTTCTACTAAGGCAATTTTCTGGATCTGTTTATTTTATTTTTCTATATTATTTTCAAGCAAAGAAACAGACACACAGAAGACACTTAAACATTCATTGAATTAACTCTCCAGAGAAATATCACACACGTACATACACACATACACATATGCAGGCTGTACACTTTTGACACCATTTTATTCTGCCAAAGTATTATTTCATTACTATATAATATAACCCTGTGCACTGAGGCTTCCCCTCTCAGGGGACATAAAGACATTGTTGGTGATTATACTGGACAAACTCATGCAAGCACAAATTTTGCAAAATGTATGTTTCCTTGATGTTTTCCATTCAAATTGCACAAAAAAGCAAACAGATAACATATACACTGAGATATGACCAATCAGTCGAGAAGTGACTTTCAGGAAATCACAAGTATGTTCTTCCACATCTTCTTCAGACAACAGACTGGACAATAAACTACATATTATTAACGTGGGAGGAAGAAAACGAGACTGCACTGTCTGTATGAATAGAAAAACAGGTGGAAGACGTCAAACAAATCACTATTGTGCAACATGTATCAATGAACCTGCAATGCATGTGGTGACTGTGTTACACATTTCAAAAATATATAAACTTTGTTTTTGTCACAAGCTCCTCAATGTCCAAAATTCTATTATAAGTCAAATATCATTACAATAAAATAATTGGTTCTAATGCTATACTATTTAATACGAAGTAATTCATTTTTCACTATTTCATAAAAAAGCGTGGTAAAATGACTGGCAGGTGGTCCATGAGATGTATCCAAGTGCAAAGGGTTAAATTATTGTTCTTATTCATTTTAAAAATTGATACATAATAATTGTAATACTTATGAGGTTCAAAATGGTATTTCTTTTCTTTTTTTTTTTTTTTTTCGAGTTGGATCTCACTCTGTCATCCAGGCTGGAGGGCAGTGGCACATTCACTGACACCCCAGACTGACCTGCTGGGCTCCAGCAATCCTTCCACCTCAGCCTTCCAAGTAGCCAGAACTATAGGCACACATGCCCAGCTAATTTTTGATTTATTGTAGAGACGAGGTCTCACCAAGTTGCCCAGGCTGGTCTTGAACTCGCAGGCTCAGGCAATCCACTCACCTTGGCCTCCCAAAGTGCTGGGATTACAGGCGAGTCACCAAGCCTGGCCATAACTGTGGTTTTAATGTGTATTTACCTGATGATTGGTGATGTTGAGTACTTCTTCATATAATTGTTGTCCACTTGTATGTCTTTTTAAAGAAACATATGTTCAGATCCTTACTGATATTTTTAAATAAATTATTTGGTTTTTTGCTGTTGAATTGATTGAGTTCCTCATATATTCTGCATATTAATACCTCGTTGGATAGTTTGTAAATATTTTCTCATTCCATCTCTTCACTGATAATTGCTCCCATTGCTGCACAAAAGATTTTTAGTTATATAATCCCATTTACCTATTTTTGCTTTTGTTGCCTGTGCTTTTGACGCCTTATCCACAAAATCTTTGCCTAGACTAATGTCCTGAAGTGTTTCCCCTGTTTCCTTCTAGTAGTTTTATAGTTTCAGGTTAAGTCTATACACCATTCTAACTTAACTTTCTATAGGGTGAGAAACAGGTTTAGCTTCATTCTTCCACACATGTATTCTGTTGCCAGTACCACTGATTGAAAAGGTTTTTTGCCAAGATATGTTCTTAGTGCCTTTGTCAAGATCAGTTGGCTGTACATATGTGAATCTATTACTGGGTTCTCTATTCTGCTCTACTGGTCTGCTTTTGTGTCTGTTTTTATACTACCCTCATGCTGTTTTTATTACTGCAGTTTTGCAGTATATTTTAAATCAGTTAATGTGACGCCTCCAGCTTTATTGTATTTACTCAGGATTGCTTTTATTATTTGAGGTCTTTTGTGGTTTCATAAAAATTCTAAGACTGATTTTTTTTTTAAATTCTGTGAAGAATGCCATTGGAATTTTGATAGGGATTAGACTGAATCTGTAGGTCACTTTGGATAGTATGGTCTTTTTGACATTATAACTTCTTCCAAACTGTGAACATGGGATATTTTGCCTTTTTTTGTGTCCTCTTCAATTTCTTTTATCAGTGTTTTATAGTGTTCATTGTAGAGATTATATCACCTCCTTGGTTTAACTTATCCCTAGGTCTTTTAATATTTTTTAATACTTACCGTACATAGGATTGCTTTCTTGATTTTTTCCCCCAACAAATTCATTATTGGCGTACAGAAATGCTATTGATTTTTGCATCTTGATTTTATATCCTGCCACTTTACTGAATTTGTTTATCCATTTAAAAATTTTATTGGTAGACTCTTTAGGTTTCTCTCCATGTAAGATCATGTTGTCAGCAAACAGGGACAATTTGACTTCCTCTTCTCCAATTTGGATATCCTTTATTTCTTTCTCCTGCCTAACTACTCTGGCTAGGACTTCCAGCACTATGGTGAATAAAAGTGGTGTCTTCCCTGTTCATTATGATGCTAGCTGAGGGCTTGTCATATATGGCCTCTATTGTGCTGAGAAACATTCCTTCTATATCCAACTTGTTGAGAGTTTTTATCATGAAGGGGTGCTGAATTTTCCAAATGCTGTTTCCGCATCTACTGACATGATCATATGGTTTTTGTTTTTCATTCTGTTGATGTATCACATTTATTGATTTGTTTATTTTGGCCCATCCTGCATCCTTGATATAAATCCCACTTGATCATGGTGTATAACCGTTTTGATGTGCTCTTGGATTTGATTTGCTCATTTTTTTTTAAGTTGGAGTCTCACTCTGTCACCCAGACTGAAGTGCAGTGGCATGCTTCCAGCCACCACAGCCTCGACCTGCTGGGCTCCAGAGATCCTTCCTCCTCAGCCTTCCAAGTAGCTGGACTGCAGGCGTGTGTTATCACACCCAGCTAATTTTGGGGGTTTTTTTTGTTTGTTTATTGTAGAGATGAGGTCTTGCCAAGTTGCCTGGACGGGTCTCAAACCCACAGGCTCAGGCAACCCACTCTCCTCAGTCTCCCAAAGTGCTAGGATTACAGGCTGAGCCACTGAGCCTGGCTGATTTGCTAGTATTTTGTTGATGACTTTTGCATCTGTGTTCATCAGGAATATTAGTGGTTTTCTTTTCTTTTTAAATGTGTCCTTCTGAAGTAGGGTACGAGCGATTAAATGACAGCCCACCAACTCAAATTAACAAAGGAGAGGTTTATTAGTCAAGGGTCTGTTGGCCAGCAACCACTTGCTGGAAGCATAAGTTCCAAGACAAGGGCCCCATCCTGCAGCAAAGGATTGTCTTAAGTAGCCCTTAACCACATTCTGAAGGCCTGGGCTACGTTAGGGGCTTTCTTTGATCTAACCGCAACATTTCCTATCTCCTGCAGGCGCAGGCAAGCAAGCAAGTTTACAGAAGCAGATGTAGCTGGTTATGCAGGTGTGGTTGATAAGGGTACAATTAATTGTGTAATGTTTGCAGAGAAAGTTTCCAGGAAAGGAGTAATGCCTGCCTCAAGGTTAGAGCTATTCCTGCTTTTCCCCCTTACACTTCTCTCTTTGTTCTCTTTGTTCCTTCTTACACTTCTATGGTTTTCGTATCAGGGTAATGTTGGCCTTGTAGAATGAGTTTGGAAGGAAGTCCCCCTCTTCAACTTTTTGGGATGTTTTGAGAACTGGTGTTAGTTCTTTTTTACATGTCTCACAGAATTAGCAATGAAGCCATGTGGTCCTAAAGTTTTCTTTGTTGAGAGACTATTATGATTCAATCTTGTTACTTGTTTTGGTCTGTTCAGATTTTCTATTTTTCATTGGTTCAATCCTGGTAGGTTATATGAGGCCAGGAATGCATCTATTTCCCCTAGCTTTGCCAATTTGTTGGTATATCATTGTTCATATAGACTTTTACTTTTTAATTTTTTTATTTTAAAGACGTGGGGTACAATTCAAGGTTAGATATACAAGTGTTTATTACTACACAGGTACCCTTGTTGATGAGGTGTGCCCCACCCCTCAGCAGTTTCCCACTACTGCCAAAACTACCCTCCCCTTCCCTAGTAGTTTCCCACTACTGCCAATCCCTTCTTATAGTATTATGATAATTGTTCAAGGTCCGCTTTTGAGTGAGAACATGCGGTACTCAGTTTTCTGCTTCTGTGATAGATCACTGAGTTTGATAGACTCTAAATCCATCCAAGTTGCTGTGAAATCCGTAGGTCTGTCTTTCTTTATGGCTGCATAGTATTCCATTATGTATATATACCACATTTTAAAAATTCAGTCCAGTTTTGAGGGGCAGCACGGTTGGTTCCATGTTTTTGCTATTGTGAATAGTGCTGCAACAAACATGCCTGTGCAGGTATCTTTTTTGTAGAATGATTTGAGTTCTAGGTATATTCCCAATAGGGGGACTGCTGGGTCATATGGAAGGTCAATGTCTAGTTCTTTCAGAAATCGCCACACTGTTTTCCAAAGAGGTTGCACTAGTTTGCATTCCCACCAGCAGTGTAGAAGTGTTCCTTTTTCTCCATATCCTCACCAGCATCTGTTGTTTGTTGTCTTAATGACGGCCATCCTTACTGGGATTAGGTGGTATCTCAATGTGGTTTTGATTGGCATTTCTCTGATGAGTAGTGAGGCTGAGCACTTTTTCATGTGTCTGCTGGTTGTCCAATAGTCTTTAATTATGCATTTTATTTTAGCAGTATCGGTTACATCTCAGCAATATCGATACTGCTAAAATAAAATTGCTCCCTTTTTCATTTCTGATTTGAGTCTTCCCTTTTTTCTTAGTCTAGCTAATGGTTTGTAGATTTTATTTATCGTTTCAAAAAACCAACTTTTCATTTTGTTGATCTTTTGTATTTTTTCAAGTCTCTATTTCATTTAGCTCTGGTTCTTTTTAAAATTTATCTCTGGTGAATTTCTCATTCAGAGCATGAATTATTTCCCCAATTTCCTTCAATTGTCTATCTGTATTCGCTTGTATCTTGCTTAGTTTCATTAAGATAATTTTTTGGAACTCATTTTTAGGTATTTCATAGATTTCCTCTTTCTGGGGGCCTGATACGAGAAAATTATTGTGTTTCTTTGAAGGTGTTGGATTTCCTTGCTTTTTATATTTCTTGGGTCCTTACATTGATATCTGCACACCTAATGGAACAGTTGGTTCATTGAATTTTATGGAGTAGCTTTTGTGGGAAAATACTTTTTCCTATAGGTATGTCCTATAGTGTCAGTAGGATAGGATATTTTAGAAAGAACAAAACAAACATATATCTGTTCAAGCGGTATGAGTCTGCCCCAAGAACAGTTGAAATAACTGGCGGCTTGAAGTTAAGGAACATCTCTAAGGTCACATAACTAAGTAATAGTCTAGCTGGAATTTAGACCCATTTTTCAACGCTTCATTGGCTACAAAATCAATGCTTTGTCTCCTGCAGCACCTAAGTCCTTGGACAATGCACCTACAGTTAAGGATTTTCATGTGTGTATAGGTGTGTGTTCATCAGAAATGGAGGCTTCAAATAATAACACTGAAAAAAAAAAAAGATATATCATCTACCTGACTTGCAAAATAGCAGATGCCACCTTAGATACCCAGGAAGCTAAATTGTGAGAATCATTCATACTTAGGAGCACTAGACAACATTATTATGTTGATCTTACATAGAATCTGCACAAAGTCTGATATCAGTCTGAATACTCTACCCAAAAACTATAGATTACTTACCCCAGGAAATGATTAGATAGAACAGGCAAAAGTTGTCATGCTCCTCAGTGGCATTCTGTTCATAAACAGCCAGTGTTTATCTAATTCCTCTGCATCTACAGCAAGATTCTAATCTTTGAATGCGGAGACTTAATATATTTTCATTTATAGATGTATGCATAAAAGGAATATCACCTTTTTTTTTTTTTGAGTTGGAGTCTCACTCTGTCGCCCAGACTGGAGTGCAGTGGCCGCTCCCGGCCACCGCAGCCTCGACCTGCTGGGCTCTGGCGATCCTTCTGCCTCAGCCTTCCACGTAGCTGGAACTACAGGCGCGTGCAACCACGCCCAGCTAATTTTTTGATTTATTGTAGAGATGAGGTCTCACCTGCCCAGGCGGGTCTCGAACCCACAGGCTCAGGCAATCCACTCACCTCAGCCTCCCAAAGGCGCGGGATTAGTCTGAGCCACCGAGCCCAGCTGAAAACATCACCTTTTAAATAAGTCAAGTAGAACTCACTCTCTAAATGTGCATTCCCTTTAGGTAATTTCCTATGCAGTCAAGAACATAGGAAAAAAAATGCCACCAAATGAGATTCACAACACTTTAACTTTTTAAAAGTATCTTGAGCCCACGGGTTCGAGACCAGCTAGGGCAACTTGGTGAGACCTCATCTCTACAATAAATCAAAAAATTAGCTGGGCATGGTGGCACGTTCCTGTAGTTCCAGCTACTTGGAAGGCTGAGGTGGAAGGATCGCCTGAGCCCAGTAAGTCGAGGCTGCAGTGGCCATGAACGTGCCACTGCACTCCAGCCTGGGTGAGAGTGAGACTCCTACTTAAAAAAAAAAAAGTATCTAAAGATTTTCATTAGATGTAAAATAAATTAGTGTCTTTCATTTTTCTTTTTCTTTTTTTTTTTGAGTTGGAGTCTCACTCTGTCGCCCAGATGGAGGGCAGTGGCACACTCCCAGCCACCGCAGCCTTACCCTGCTGGGCTCCAGCGATCCTTCCGCCTCAGCCTTCCAAGTATCTGGAACTACAGGTGTGCACTACCACGCCCAGCTAATTTTCTTTTTATTATTTATTGTAGAGACGAGGTCTCGCCAAGTTGCCCAGCCGAGTCTCGAACCCACGGGCTCAGGCAATCCACTCGCCTCAGCCTCCCAAAGCGCTGGGATTACAGGCGTCTTTCATTTTTCTATCCTCCCTGAGTAAATAGATTAAAAGAACATGTACAGTATGAGTTGTAGGACTCAGTTAAAATAAACTCTTCTTTGAATTGACAGGCAGTTTAGAGTACTTGGGTTAACAGAGTACCACTAAATAAGGCCTGAGGTCAGGAAAGTCAGATTCCCTAGTCTTAACATGTTCCTTACCACTCTTCCAGTTTTAGCTCGTAGAATGCCTTTCGATCCTTCTGTTTCCTCTCTTGAACAGTCTCACCACAGTACTTCTGAAGTGCCATCATCAGGCTTCCTACAGGAGTGCTGAGGGGAAAGCCGAAGGGAAGCTTAGGGGGAAAAAAAGTCATTATACCATGCAACACGAGTGCCTCTCTGCTAAGGCATGAGCAATGTCAGAGACACTTATTCCTAATTTGTTACACAATAGAATAGCAATTCATCAAATAATTAAAGTTAAAGTTACATCTAATGAGCGATATAATGTCTCTTGATGTGATACATTGAGGTCACAACTACAGCTATGTTGTACTCCTGACAAAAACATTAAACATGGCCAAGTACGTGGCTCACACCTGTAATCCCAGCACTTTGGGAGGCAGAAGCAGGACTGCTTGAGCCCAGGAGTTTGAGACCAGCCCATGCAACAAAGCAACACCTCATCTCTACAAAATAAATTAAAAATTAAAAAATTTAGCTGGGTGTGGTGGTGTACGCCTATAGTTCCAGCTATCTGGGAGGCTAAGGTGAGCCATGATACTGCCTCTGCACTCCAGCATGGGCAATAGAGACTCCAACTCAAAAAAAAAAACCCAAAAAGTTAAACATAAATCTAATCATGAGAGGACAAGTAAACAATATTGAGAAACATTCTGGGCATTATTGTGATAATTGAGGAGTTTTGAATATGGACCCTACCTAAGTTTTATTGTAACAATGTGTATTGTGATAATTGTACAGTGAGTCCCCTACATACAAACGAGTTATGTTCCAAGAGTGTGCCTGTAAGTCCATTGTGATCTTAAGTCTGACAAAGTTAGCCTAGGTAGCTCAGAAGAAGGCAGTGAGTTGGGCTGCAAGAAGCAGGGATGTCTTGAGCAGGAGCAAGGTGCATGCATACCAGTGCAGAGCACAGAGGGCTGGGAGTGGGGCGAGAGGCGCAGCTGGCTGCCTTCCTCATGACTCCTCCCCCAACCCACAGCTGGGGGTCAGCTGATTCCAGCCATAGACAGGGCTCCACCTACCTGGCTGCTCTCAAGTGACAGCTGTGGTACCCAATGACGGGCTGGGCCTCGGTTTAGGAGCCTATGAGGACTGGGTGCTAGGAGGCAGGCCAAACGGCCACAGGGGACTGAGGAGGAGAGGCCTGCATTGGCCTCAGCTGGCCTTGCCAGGGCTCCAGTGGCAGCAGCTGCAGTACCATGTTGCTGCAGTACAGGCAGAGGAGATGTCCCTCACCAGCAGTTCCTGCACAGCCCATTCCTTTCCAAAAAGTCTTCCACTATGGCAAGGAGAGGAAGAGGAGGCTGTGGAGGGGTGGGGTACCCACTAACACAATCACTATATTGTATCATCTACATCATTGATGCTTTTATGCTTGCTTCTGGACATCCTGGGCTTGAAATTAAGATACTGTACTACTGTAACTCTATACAGTACTGTAAAGTGAAGGACACAAAAGCACAACCAGTTGTAGAGGATGCATGCACAGTGACAACATACACCAGACACGTGAACTAACTTAGTAATGGGATGTGCAAACACATGCAAAGGCATGTTCCATTCTTTGAAAGTTCACAACAGCAACTTTAAGGTTTGTATGTAGGGGACTTACTATATTAAGATTTCATCAAATAATGTTCCTCATCATGGAAGTTGCATAGTGATATACTTAGGGGTGAAGTGTCATGAGTTATCAAATGGAAAAGAAAAAGAATATATACACATTCCATACATATACCGAGACAAAGAAAGCAAATACGCCAAGTGTTAGCAGCTGACGAAGCAAGGAGAAGGTTATATGGTATTCCGATGTACTAATTCACTCAACTTTTCAGTAGATTTGAAACTTTTCAAAGTAAAAAGATGGAGAAGAAACATTTTTAAATTTTATTAAACTAAATAAAACGTCACCAAAATTTTTTTTTTTTTTTTTTGAGTTGGAGTCTCACTCAGTCGCCCAGACTGGAGTGCAGTGTCCGCTCCCGGCCACTGCAGCCTCAACCTGCTGAGCTCCGGCAATCCTTCCACCTCAGCCTTCCAAGTAGGCAGAATTACAGGCATGCGCTACCACGCCCAGCTGATTTTTTGATTTATTGTAGAGATGCGGTCTCACTGCCCAGGCGGGTCTCGAACCCGCGGGCTCAGGCAATCCACTCACCTCAGCCTCCCAAAGGCGCGGGATTACAAGCTGAGCCACCGAGCCCGGCTACCAAAATTTTTTATGAACTATGCTTGTTAACTGTTTCTTATTCCTTTTTCCTGCTTTTTATAAATATGATTGTTCAAATTATAAAGTTTCAGGCGTTAGTAATACTTAAACAGTTTTTTTCTCTTATTATTTTGCATTTCCTTATGCAGCCAGTGTTAAACAGCTTTTATCTAGTGAAAAGGAATTTTGAATAAGCACTCTATCTTAGACAGCTATATTAAATCAATGCTAAATTATTTATTGTGGTAATTGTATTGATATCTCTAAGTAAAATAAACCATGTAAAAACTGAAATAAACAACTGGTATAGAATTAGAACTAGACAGGCAAAGCAACAACCAACGTAGGACTAGAGAACTTTTACAGGCTCAGAGGATTACATTTTTTTCTTTAGAAATGAATGAGATTTTCCAACAAACAAGACATTAATAAGAGTTTGTGCCAATCTAGAATCAGACTATGTTCATGCTTACCCCAGCAAGGCTCCAATTATACCACCAGCCATCAGGGCACGCAGGCCTAAGTTTATTCTGAAAAGACTTCCTGTGACAGCTGTTTAGAAACAAAAAAGGTAATATTAAATCATTTGTAAATACTAGAATGCCACTTAAAAGGACACAACCCCCGCGTGAGCTTTCTGAACCCAACAGTAACACACCTCTACAGCCTACACTTCTTGACTCTAAAATGCCAATAGGTAGCTTCCTGTCTATACTGCAGATTCAAAGTTAGAAACAACCTTTATATATAAAAATAAACCCCTAATCTGTTCCATGGATCCAGTTTATTTTCATTCTGCTTCGTTTTTGCCCATCCCCTGAAAATCTTGAAAGTTTTCCCCCTTTTCCTCTTTCATTTCTTCAAGGAAAGCTTTCTCAAAATTTAAAAAAAAAAAAAGGTTCCACTAGTCCCTGCTGTTTATTCCTTCCCCTGCCTCATCCTTTACCCACTGCTACACGCCACCACTTAGAAGGGCGGCAAGCAGGCAGCATTTGGCCTACGCCGCCACCAAGTGGCCAGTGCATGGAGATACACTCCTTCCCAAGGGGACTGCATCCATTACGCTCGTTCATTTTCCTCTTCCACCATGCCCAGTGCAACTCATGCCATCTGAGGTATTAACACTTTTTAAAGAATTACATTTGAGATTTATTTAATTTATTTTATTGAGCTACAGCCTCACTCCGTCTCCCAGGCTGGAGTGCAGTGGTACACTCATGGCCACTTCAGCGTCGACTTACTGGGCTCCAGTGATCCTTCAGCATGCAGGCTCAGGCAATTCACTCGCCTCCACCTCCCAAAGTTGGGATTACTGGCTGAGCCACTGAGCCTGGCCACAAGGTCTATATTTTTAGGGGATACTATGTTTATTTTTAAAAATTTTCTGAATTAACAAAAACAAAGATCATCTTTAATCCCATTACCCACAGACAGTAATTGGTCTTTTTCTAGTCTTCCAAAGTGTTTTACTATGCTGCCAAGGCTAGTCTTGAATTCCTGGCCTCAAGCTCCCAAATTTCTGCCTCAGCCTCCCAAAGTGCTAGGATTACAGGCGTGAGTCACCATTCCCAGCTCCAAACAAAATATTTTTTAAAAAAACAAAGTGGGGGCCGGGCTCGGTGGCTCAGTCTGTAATCCCAGCACTTTGGGAGGCCGAGGCAAGTGGATTGTCTGAGCCCACGGGTTCGAGACCAGCCCAGACAACTCGGCAAGACCTCATATCTATAATAAATAAAAAATTAGTCAGGTGTGGTTGCACACGCCTGCAGTCCAGCTACCTGGAAGGCTGAGGTGGAAGGATCACCGGAGCCCAGCAGGTGGACGCTAGGGTGGCCATGAGTGTGCCACTGCACTCCAGCCTGGGCAACAGTGAGACTTCAACTCAAAAAAACAAAAACAAAAAAACACCAAATTGGGGCCATGCTGTACACATTAAATTTTCTATTTTCAGCCAGGCTCAGTGGCTCAGCCTGTAATCCCGTGCTTTGAGAGGCTGAGATGAGTGAATTGCCTAAGCCCAAGGGTTCGAGACCCCCCCTGGGCAACTTGGCGAGACTTCATCTCTACAATAAATCAAAAAAATTAGCCGGGCGTGGTAGCGCGTGCCTGTAGTTCCAGCTACTTGGAAGGCTGAGGCGGAAGGATTGCCGGAGCCCCTCAGCAGGTCGATGCTGCAGTGGCCGGGAGCGGCCACTGCACTCCAGTCTGGGCGACAGAGTGAGACTCCAACTCAAAAAAAAAAAAAATTTTTTTATTTTCACCAAACGTATTATTAAACTCCACATCACTAAGTTTTCTCCAATGCCTGGATATATCACAAATTTTTTTCTAACACAGGTTTTCTACTTAAGGGTGTTTTAAGTATAGATGTCATGATAATCCCTGCACAAATAACCTTTTTATACATCTGATTGTTTCCTTAGGATGAACTCACAGGAATTAAATGTCTAGGTCAAAGGGTATGAATATCTTTAAGGCTTTTAACTTAAATTATTAAACTATTCAAAAAGCTTACATCCTTTTCCTATTAAAAGCATGCAAGTGCTCTGCTATTCTACATTTGCTTAGCTTATCTTTTCCAATTCAATCGGCCAAAAATTGTATCTAATTTTAAATTGTATTTCTCTGATTACTACAGAAAGGTAGATGTTTTTCCTGAGCCTTACAAGTTATCCGTGATACCTCTGAGAATTACAAATTCATATCCTTTGTTCAGTCTTCAGTTTTCTTTTTGATTAATTGGGGCTTTTATCTACTACCTGTACACATCATTAATTTTGAGTTGTTTACATTGAATGTCTTCTGCAGTATCTATGATATAGGGAAGTTAAAAATTTATGTGTTAATAATTTCCTATATAGTTTTAAAATTTATATGTTTTCTTATACATGGATTTTTTCCAGTAAATATACTGAAAAATTGTTGGTGATGTGCATCAATTTGAAAAAAAAACTAACAAACTGCCTAGCCTAGAAATAGCAAAAAAACATTAAGAGAAAGTTAGGTATGTCATGAATGCATAAAACACTAGTGGTGCCAAAAATATATATACACATTTCAAGTGACATTAAGAAATGATTGCCATAATCAGGAGTGTCTGTACACTGATGGTTGCCACTTTAAGCAACTCTCATAACTGCAGAAGTCAATACATGACTTGTATTCATCTTTTGTTATTAGTGTATATATTGAGTATTACAATTTATTTTTTTTTTTTGAGTTGGAGTCTCACTGCTGAGCTCAGGCAATTCCTCTGCCTCAGCCTTCCAAGTAGTTGGAACTACAGACGCGCATACCCCATCCGGCTCATTTTTTATTTATTGTAGAGACAAGATCTTGCCAAGTTGCCTGGGCTGGTCTCAAACCCACAGGCTCAGGAAATCCACTCTCCTCAGCCTTCCAAAGTGCTGGGATTACAGGCTAAGCCACTGAGCCCAGATGAGTATTTCAACTTTTTTTTTTTTAATTTTTATTATAAAGATGTGGGGTACATTTCAGGGTTAGGTATATAAACATTGATCATGCAGGTACCCTTGTTGATGAAGAATGGCCCTCCCTCACTTAGCAGTTTCCCTCAACTGCCAATCCCACCCCATATTTCAACTTTAATAGTGTTTTCCTTTCTTAAAAGGAATATGTGTATGTAAATGCTAGTCTCTTTGTGTTATTAGTAAGGCTTCTGTCGAATATTAGGCTCTTACTAGTTGTTTTAGGAAAGTCAAAAATTATATTCAAATTAACTTCATAGGGGGTAGGCATTCACACACACACACACACACACACACACACACACACACACGCATATGCATGTAGAGTTTCTTCCCATCCAGATATCTACTTATATATTTCTCCTTATATGGGTTTTTTTTTACATATGCACTTTAAATGAATCATATTTTGTTACACTGAATATAGTTACAATTTAATTTCTTTCCAAATAGTTAATAACCATTCTAGCCCATGAACTGTCCATTCTTTCCCTAAGAATCTAAAATATCACCTTTATTCTCGTTTTCATATTTGTATATGCTTGGTTTTGTTCCTGACTTTTGAATTATATTCCATAGATCTGTCAATATCCCACTGTTCTATTTATTGTAACTTTACATATATTTTAATTTCTGACAATTGTAAGACTTCCTCATTATTCTTTTTTGAAATATTTTTGCTATGTTCATACAATCAGCATTTTAGATGTGTTAGACATTGTCACAAGTTCTTTAAAAAAAACTATGATTTTGAATTTCTTTCAATTTATAAATTAAGTAGAACAATACTGGGTTAACTGTAAATTGTTCCCCATTCTATTATTACTTTATGATTTATAATTTCCTTCATAGAAGTTGTACACTTATTAAATTTGTTCCTTATTATTTTATATTCTTGTTACTAGTATTATATAAAGAATTTTTAGAAAATAACCACTGATGGAATATTAAAAGGCTATTTGTATATTTATATTTGATTAACTAGAAATAATAGTTTTTCAAGTGATCCTTTTAAATATTACCTGCAAGTGTGGACAATTTTGTTTCCCCCTATTTAAAAGCATTGCCTCCCCCCACCCATGTTAATGTATTTTTAACAGTTTTACTGAGGTATACTATTACATATCCAAAATTCACCTAAATGTGCAATTCAATTATCTTCAGTAAAATGAAAATTTAGTTGCATTAGTTATACAACCATCACCACATTCCAATTTTGAACATTTCCATCATTGCAAAAAGATTCCTCTTGTCCATTTGTGGTTCCCAGCCCCACCCCAGGCAAACACTAATTTGCTTTCTAGCTCCACAGATTTGCCTATTCTGGACATTTCATATGAGTAGGCTAGTATTATGAAGTCTTTTGTGTCTAGCTTTTTTCATTTATCAATGTTGTTGGCCAGGCGCAGTGGCTCACACCTATAATCCCAGTACTTTGGGAGGCCGAGGTAAGAGGGTTGCCTGAGCCCACGGGTTGGAGATCAGCCTGGGCAATTTGGTGAGCTCTCACCTCTACAATAAATCAAGGAAAATTAGCTGGGTGTGATGGCGCATGCCTGTAGTTCCAGCTACTTGGAAGACTGAGGTGGAGGGATCACCTGAGCCCAGCAGGTAGAGGCTGCAGTGGCCATGAGCATGCCACTGCACTCCAACCTGGTTGACAGAGTGAGACTCCAACTCAAAAAAAAGAAAAAAGTGTTGAGATATATTCATGTTGTAGCATATTACTGTCCCTTTTTTTTGTTGTTGTTGTTGAAAATATCTCACTGAATGAACATATCACATTTTGTTTATCCATTCACTAGTTGAAGAGCATATGGATTATTTCCAGTTTGAGGCTGTTAGGAAAATGCTGCTATAAAAGTTCACATACGTCCTTTGGAATATGTTTTCATTTCTCTTGGGCAGATTCTTAGGCATGGAATTGCTGACTTGCATAGTAAATTCTGTTTAACCTTTTTTTTTTTTTTTTGAGTTGGAGTCTCACTCTGTCACCCAGGCTTGGAGTGCAGTGACACGCTCCATGCCTTGACCTGCTGGGCTCAGGCGATCCTTCTGCATCAG